GCTCCAGAGCCACATGCGACTCCTCAGAAGTTAATATGCGGCTCCTTGTATAGGCACCGACTCTGGGGCTGGAGCTAGAGGCGCCAACTTTCCACTGTCCGGGGGGGGGGGTCACTGCTCAGCCCCTGGCTCTGCCACAGGCCCTGCCCCCTCCCCTGAGCCTGCCATGCCCTCACTCCTCCCCCTCCCCACCAGAGCCTCCTGCACGCCACGAAACAGCTGATCGGCAGTGCAGGGAGGGAGGGGAAGACGCTGATCGGTGGGGCTGCCAGTGGGTGGGAGGCGACTGGGAGTTGGAGAGACGGGGGGCGGGGGAGCTGCTGACATGTTACTGTGGCTCTTTGGTAATGTACACTGGTAAATTCTGGCTCCTTCTCAGGCTCAGGTTGGCCGCCCCAGGTCTACACTGGGGTCAGGGGTGTGACCGCAGCACATGTAGACGTACCCAGGTTAGCGTTGATCTAGCCAGCTCCGATACCACCAGCAGGGCTGCGCACGCTGGCCTTGGGGGTGTACTTGAGGGCCCGGCTCGCTTTGCTGCTGCTGCTCTTGGAGATGGCGAGATCAAAGCCAGGTTGGGGGTGTACACGTGCCGCGTCACACCTCAGATTGGCATGTAGACAGGATTCCTGGGGCCCAGGGGTGCATAGGAGCTGCCGGCTTCATTGGAGCAGAGGGCAGAGCAAAAGGAATCCGCACAAATGCCTCTTCCTCGGCCTCTGGCAATGGCTCACCGCAGACCCAGCGCAGCTGGTCAGTCCTGGGCTTGTTGGTGGGGCGGGGGAAGGGAGTCGGTTTGCAAAGTAAAAGACGGCCTGTTTGTAAATCACAAGCCTGTATCCACACACACACCTCCGCTGACCCCACACTGGCTACCATATGGCAGGCACAAGCCATGGCCCGAGCCAGGGACGGCTCCGTCATCAAAACCCTGCGAGTTTCCTGCATACGGCTCCCCAGGTCTCAGTCAGAGCAGCTGTTCCCTTTATCCTGTCGGATCAGCATGGCAGGGCAAGAGGCGCAAGCTGCAGTCGGGTTGGGGGTGGGGGGGGGGATAGAGATCTGCTTCTGAAAGCCACGGTGCGGCGTTCTCCCTCTGAGATCACTGCGGTCAAACTGCACCCCCCGGGTCAGTGTGCAACCCAGCGAGAGAGACCAGGAGGGGGGAGTGGCTGGGATCCCAGTGAAATAGACCAGAGAGGCGAAAGGTATGGGGCTAGCCCAGGGAAAGACACTGGGACTCAGGATACAAAGAGGCCAGGCTGTGTGGCATGAGCAATCGGGGGAGGTGCAGTCTAACCAGACTCCGTACCCACTGACACCCTGCATAGCCTGAGAGAGGATCCCACTCGGGGGCAGCTGCGTAAGCCCAATTCCTGCCCCTGCCCAGCGTGCCCAGTCTCAACTTGATCCCTGTGAGGGTGGGTTTGGGTTATTGCTGATTGGCAGTCGGGCTGACCAGTCCTCTGCCGCTCCCCCTCCACCCCTAGGCAGCCACAAATGCCTCCTGCACAAGGCGGCAGGGCGTCTGCACAGGGCTCCGTTTCCTGGCACACAACACGGGATCCCTGCATGGACCCCGGCATCCTCCTACCCCACAAGGCACCAGCCTGGCTGCCTTTGGGGCCCTGTGCACCCAGGGGGAGGAGCTCAGCACTTGCCCCACGGCCAGTAACCCCTATTAACATGCAGAGCAGGAGGGGGAGACTCAGGCAGGCAGAGCACAGGAAAGCAACTGCAAGTGGACTGGCTTGTCCTGTCCCGCAGCTCCTGGCCCAGCGAGAAGGGTAGGAGGATACTCAGCTCCCCCATCCCGCTTTCCTGTGGCCAGCGATGAACGTGCTCGGGAGGAGTCTGAAAATGCTTGGAAGGATCCTTGAGTCTCCCCAACTTCAGAGCTTTATCCTGGCCCCCCAATGCAGGATTCTGCTGCCTTGCGCTTATCCCCTGATCCAGCCGCTGCCTGGCTGGGCCGGGCAGCAATGCTGCATGCCAGTCTCTGACAAGGGGTCGAGCGAGTGGGGAGCGCTCAGGTCTCACCCGCTGTCTCCCCTGCCTTCTGCACAGGTACCTCCGGACCCTGTACCTCGGCCTCCAGAGCCGCTGGCAGTCAGAGCACAGGCAGCGCCACTTCTTCTGGAGGATGATGTTTGAGAGCGCGGACATCAGCATGCTGCGGCTGCTGGAGACCTTCCTGAAGAGCGCCCCCCAGCTGGTGCTGCAGCTGAGCATCATGGTGCAGCAGAACAACATCGAGCCTCTGCAGGGTAAGGGACGCCCCTCACCTATCCAGCCCCACCCCCGGCCCTCCATCTGCCTTCCTGCCCCCTCTCGTCACCTGTCACTGCAGGGGACAGCCCACAAAATTAAAAGGTGGCAAATTCAAAACTGAGAGACAGACAGAGTTTCTCACACCATGGGAGAAGAGACTGTGGAACTCCCTGCCACAGGGAGTTGTTGAGGCCAAGAATTTAGCAAGAGTCGAAAAGGGAGGGATCGGACACTTGTACGGATAACACAAACAACCAGAGCTGTCAATAGTTAATGATTGAATTCTGGAAGGGACATCAAACCTCCTGCTTCGGAGCTGAAGCCAGTGTCTCTCTAACTGAGGGACCGGGAGGAGACCTAATGTGGTGGCAGATTATCCCATATCTGCTCCTGCGGATTCTTACCCCTTCCCCTGCAGCATGTGATGTTGGGCCCTGGCACAGACAGGACACTGGGCTAGAGGGAGCTGGGATCTGATGTTCCATCTTCTGTCTTCCCTCCCTCTTCCTCCCATCTCTTACCATCCCCTCCTGCTGTTCCTCTCTTCCTCCTCCCTCCAACTCCCTGACTCCTTCTGTGTCTCCACAGGTCTCTCGGCCTCGGCCTCCCTGGTGTCCCTGGCGTGGATGATCGCCTCCTACCAGAAGGTGCTGCGGGACTCGCGGGAGGACAAGATGCCCATGTCCTACAAGGGGGCAGTGGTGCAGATCCTCTGGCATCTGTTCACCATCGCTGCCCGCGCCATTGCCTTCGCCCTCTTTGCCTCCGTGTTCCAGCTCTACTTTGGCATCTTCATCGTCACGCATTGGTGCATCATGACCTTCTGGATCATCCAAGGGGAGACGGACTTCTGCATGTCCAAGTGGGAGGAGATCATCTACAACATGGTGGTGGGCATCATCTACATCTTCTGCTGGTTCAACGTGAAGGAGGGCCGGAGCCGCTGCCGCATGGCCATCTACTACACCATCACGCTGGCGGAGAACGCGGCCCTCACCGGGCTCTGGTACATGTACTATGACCGCCAGGCCACCTCAGACTTCGACGCCTTAATCATCGTCTGTGTGGTCTCCTCCAGCTTCGCCCTGGGCATCTTTTTCATGTTCATCTACTACTGCCTCTTGCACCCCAATGGGCCAGTGTTCGGCCCCCAGACCACAGGCTGCATTTTCAAAAAGGCGCCGGCCGCCTGCGTGGGGCCCCCAGAGGACGTTATAACCAGCCCCCCGCGCTCCCTGCCACGGACTACAGGGGGGGAGAGGGAAGGAGTGCCAGGGGACAGGGACAGCTGCGTGCCTGTTTTTCAGGTCAGGCCAAGCGTCCCCCCGACCCCTGTTGCCCGTGCCCCCCGGACAGAAGGGCCCGTCATCCGAATAGATCTGCCCAGGAAGAAGTACCCGGCCTGGGATGCCCATTTTATTGACAGGCGGCTCCGTAAGACGATCCTAGCGCTGGAGTATTCTTCTCCGGCTACCCCGCGCCTGCAGTACCGCAGCATGGGGGCCTCGCAGGAGGTGCTGGAATATGAGACCACGGTGTAGGCCACCACGGGAGCCATGTAACTGCCTAGCATGCCCCCCTGCCGTGGGGCTGACACAATGGTGCATTTCCAGAGCCCAAGGGGGTCGCTGGTCGGAGCCCACTGGCCGCCAGCCACGCCTGGCCTTCCGCTGCGCTGGAGAGTGGCTGTTCAGTATCTTCTTAGCATTTTGCCTTTTGTGTTCCTTAGCACTGATGGCCCCCCACCTCCCCGCTCTACCCCCCCATCCCAGAGGGGTTGGCGAGGTCAGCTGGTGCTACCCCCACACTCTGCCTTGACGAGCTCTCCCTCTAGCGATGCCATGGCAAAGTTTTCTTCCCTGGGCCCCAGCTGCATCCAGGCCACCTCCCTGGCAACCCCACAGACAGGCCCAGAGGAGTCCATCCTCCCCTCCAGGCAGGCGGCTTTGTTGGTGCTGAAATACCTCACCCGTACCTGAGCTCAAACAGCCTGGAGCTGCCCCACGGTGTGGCCGTTAGCCACCAGCAAAGGGGCAGGGTACCTGGGGCAGGGGGGTTTGCACAGAGCCCGGCTGGAGAAGGTGGTGACTCACCACTGGTGAGCAGCTTCCCTGTGGGTGTGAGGACTGGCCGGAGCTGGGGAGCAGGGTGCGTGAGGGGCCGTGGAGTGGCGGGGTGGGGGGAGGAATCGGGGCAGGCAGAGTGCCCTGGATACAGAAATGCACCACAAATCCCCGCTGCTTTGGGCGGGGCGGGGCCTGGGAATTGCGGCTGAGGCGTGCAGAGCTTGGGGGGAAAGGTGGGACCCTGGTTGCTGGAACACACGCTGGGTGCTGGGGCGTGCCGAGGGTGCTGGGGTAAGGTGGAGCGTGGCAGTTGATCAACAGGCAAGATCACAGCCACAATCCTTTATCATTTGTGTATAAAGTCTGTTCCCGCAATTCCCCGGGCCTTGAAATTGGGGAATGGCCTTGGGCCCCCTCCCCCTCGCTCCTCCCACACACACCCTGAGACCCCTGCCACAGCTGTGCCAGTCCCTGGGGGCAGATGCACTTCGGCCTCTAAGTAAAGGGGCTATAGGAAGGTTAATAATCCCAGCGACCCATGGGGTGAGCGTGGCGGAGGATTCTCCCTAGAGTGTTGGGGTCACGATGGAGAGAGCCCGTGGGATCCCAAGGAGCACGTCGGCCAAGCTGGGCTGGCAGGAGCTGGAGACAACAGGGAGAAAGCTGGAGCAGAATGGGGTGTTTGCTTGAGGCCAGGCCAAGCCAGGGCCAACAGCCCTAGCAGGATCAACGTCAGATTCGTACCAGTGCCAATGGCCAAACTCCCTGGGTCTTCCGTGGGAGCGGCTGAGGGCAGTGTCGTCACGATGCAAGAGCCCCAGGGCTGCAGCCATGCCAGGCACCATCACACACCCAGCGTTTGCCACTCTGCAGTGCTGGCCGTGCCATTCCAGCTCCTGTGCAAGGGACGCAGCGGGGCCGGGCTTGATTCCGGGGCCTTGGGTGGTAAATGCTGCGTCTGCAGGGGCTGGGTGGGCCCTGTTGGTGCAGGGATGCAGTGTCCCGTCACAGCTCTGCAGGCATGGTACTGAGAGCTGAGCTGGGGGCAGTGATCTCTCACTGGGGGGGCTGTTTCAGTTTTTTTGTGTGAACCGGCTGGTGCGTGGGGAGGGGCTTTATCACCAGCATGCCATGAAATGAACAAAGGCTCCCGCACTGTTCAGGCCAGGCCAGCAGACAGGACAAACCCCCTGTTTGCAGATCCATGGCCCAGATACCGCCACCACTGAAGGACAATGATCCCAACAAGGCCTTTTCAAGCCAGACTTGTACGGCTTGGCAGCGGGTTGTGGCAGGTCTGTCACTGGAGACTGGGGGTGTTTTGGTTGCTTCTTCATATATCTTCCTGCTTGTGTGTTTCCACATCTGGAAACCCTGCAGGCTTTTAAATGACTGCAGGGGAGGGTGGGGGAGAGGGGTGTCTTTTACCATGAAGATTAATAGGTCACAAAGAAAGCCGTGTGCACACACCCCTCCCCCTGCAGAGGGCCAGCCCCACCTCTATTCTGACCTGACTTCATTGCACACACAGGTCTGAGGGAGGGCAGTGTGAGGCCTGGGCATGCATAGATGCACACCTGGATCTCGAGAGATGAATTTAAAAAACCCGTTAAGTGCGCAGGTGCTCCCTGATTCCTGCAGTTGTGTGCGCAAACCGGTTCATTGCACGGGCAAAAGGCTGATTAGTCGCATTTACCGATTGGCCTGGGCAGATGCATTAATCAAGAGCAGCAATTAGGTGCCCCTTTGTCACCTGCAATGAAGAGCTGACGCTTGCTGAATCCCTGGCCCACAGAGAGGATCACACAGTGCCACCTCACTGATCCCAAATGCCCTTCGGTCTCCCACACAGAGCGCCAGCTCCTACTCCGAGCCCCATGATTCCAAGGGGGGGCTGCAACCAAGGGAAGGCAGATGATGCCGTGAGAGCTAACGGCCTTGGCTCAGGGCTATGCCTGAAACCCCAGACCTGCTTCAGCTGCTGGGGGAGCCCCAGCTGGCCAGGCCCAAGGCCACCTTCCAGGCTGAAATGGGGGAAACTCAAGAGTTACGTGACATGGCAAAAGCATGTGGAGGTGGGGGGAAGGCAAAGCCCCTCATCTCATTTTAAGCCTAGCTGTAGGGTTACGGGGGGACACGCTCTACAGAGCCCCCCCTTCCCCCACCACGGACAGGCTGCTCGCACTTCCCATGATCAAAGCCCCACCAGTTCTCCGAGTCCCTTATGGGAGAGTCTGAAATATCCAATTTCCTGTTTCTTTTTGCCCTCACCCTTGGATTTAACCCTTTGGCCCCTGCAGCTGTCGGCTCTCCCAGCTCTGGTCCCTGTGTTCATTCCAGTGGTTCTGCAGCCGGCTTACCCTGTGTCCTCTTACACAGCTGAGCAGCTTGTGACTGGCACCGACGGGGGCACAGGGGGACCTGGGTCACTGCTCACACAGGGGGATATCCGAGTCTCCTCTCCTGTAGCCGGGCTGGGGCGCG